TAAATTGTCTAGAAATTGGTTTCTACTTTGAAATTCTTCCACTCTTATATCACAAATTGGCATATACATGCACCATATTTATTACATGTCAATTTTCACATTTACTTGACAAATGTGTTCAAGCAAATATAAACGAGGAAACTTGTAAGCAATTGTAGGGAAGTGATGAACGGTGAGGATTGAAAGACTCTTTAATTATTTTGGCCTTCTTTATAAAAGGTCAAACATTAACGTTGCTAATTTTTGGAACAAATAATTTTCCACCAAATATAGTTCTCTTTCTCTGAGTTTTGATTCTCACTTCTTAGCACTTTCTTTTTTCTTCTTACTTTTTTTTTTTTTATTCTTTGAGGTTCATTACAGTACAAACTAAACATTAAAAGTGGAATTTACCTTATAAATTTATTAAAACATCTCTAATGAAATTATTTGTGATGTTATTCTATTAAAAGTATTTTAATAAATTTATAGGTTAAATTACACATTTAATATGCAATCCATTCTATAAAAACACTTTTTCATTATTCCTTTACCATTTCTATTTGTTTTTTTCCCTGACAAAGTGGAATTAAAGAAGTTTTAAAAAAGTTTACCTTCACATTTCACATAATTAAAAAATTAACACTACTTAAATCATTAAAAAATATCCAAATATAGGTGTTTTAAAGCTCAATAATTATTTCATTCAAACCCAATCCTCCAATCCACTCTAAAAACCCACTAATCTTCTTTACATGATTAAAAAATCAATACCACTTAAATCATTAAAAAATACCCAATTACTGGTGTTTTGAAGCTCAATAGTTATTTCATTTAAACCCAATCCTCCAATCCACTCTAAAAACCCACTGATCTACCTACCTATCTATCTATCACCAATTCACCAATTTCTTTCCAATAAAAGCCCATCTAACCAAGCAAGCCCATCAATTCTCCACAATTCTCCCTACAGATGTTCGACAAACGCTCAAATCCCCTCCCAATTTTCTCCTTTTTCCAAGGGATTTACTTGCTTTATACGCAGCTATTGAATCTTTTTATTATTATTTAAAGTGTTGTATGATTCCAATAATCCTATTTTTCAAGTGGATGATTTGGATATTTATTGGATAATTAACCCTAATCAATCTAAATTTCAATCAAATTTGAAAATTGTAATAAACTTACAATAATTTATAAACAATATATTGGGTCAAATAGCCCAAATGTAAGCCATCAAAATAAAATGAAAACCTCCTCTTATGCTATACAATACAAAATAATTCTCTTATTTTCATATACTCTTTTGCTTGTTTAAGGTTTGAAATTCAAACCTTAGAACTAATTATTTGCTTCTCCTATTCGATTTTCACCTCAAGGAATCCCCACCTTCGCATATAGGAGTTCTACTCTGTTTTCCTTTCTCTAGTAGCTTGGAGATATGGTCAAAAGACCAAAAAACAATCTGCGAGTGATTACCATCCACAGAGGACTAGATACGGAAAGTAACGCCTTGTCCTTTCCTTTGTTGTTTCGGAGCCCATTCTTTAGTCTTTCCAATAGCTACTGCATCGCCATCAGTGAGGTAGTGCTTGGCAATTGAGGACAGTACCTCTTACGTTTGCAACAGTGATGGAGGCAATTTAATTTGGGGGAGGGGATATTATGCGAGAAATAGAGCATTTGTATTAACCCAAAAAATGATTAAAAGTTGAAAAGAAACTCACTTGGCTAATTAAATTGAGGCAAGACTTGGTAACATCAATCAAATACAACTATCCACGAATTTTCCTTTTAATGTTTTAAATCAAACTGACGAATTTGAGTAAGATT